ACATGCATAGTGAGGTTCAGTTGTACTAGTCCAGCAGCTGTGGTGCCTACAAATGGCCCTGGAACTATGCAGATTCATCAGATGAGAATTCAATCAGCCACAGCTCAAAGAACCACTAGCAATCTCTGGAGGAACCCTAGGGTTCTACAGAACCCTGGTTGAGAATGGCCACTCTAGTAATTATAAGATCCTAGATGTAACACCCTCTAGGTAAGCTAGATAGGCTTTGTTGTTTTTTTGTTCATTTAGAGGCTGGGCAGCAGCCTGAGATGATTCAGCCTGGGAGTGAGGCAGGAGTTCACCTCAGGACAGACTGGGAGGCTCTACAGGTCAGAGCTTCTGGAGCCCTTCCACCCTTCCAAAAACCTAGAGAACTTTTGGAAGAAGGGCAGAGGAGGCCCAGATCTACATGTTTGAGGGACCTTGACCAATCCCAAGGCAGGAGGCTGAGCATGGTGACCAAGGACAACTCTTAAATGTGGCAGAGCCTGGGTAGCAGGGTGCAGAGTCAGGTGGAAGATGGACTGAGAGGAAGGCTGAAGTGTGGAGCCTGGGAGGAGGCCCCAGGGAGGAGAGCTTACCTACAGGCTGGTTGCTGGGCAGGAGGCTGTCCATTGCCCAAGGTCTTTTAGGGAGGACATCCTGAGTAGCTGGGAAGGAGCCAGCCCAGTGAAAAGCCTGAAAGCAGCTACCAACCTACCATGCTGACGGGACGGGACAGTGTGAGTACTCCTACACCCCCTTGGCCAGATAAAGGGAGATGGCAGTCAGGTGCAAGACCCAACTAGCTCTCGTCCGGGACTACATCATTGTTAGATATTCAAATCCTTTGCCCAGGGATACCCTCAGTGCTCTTTTTCTTATTTTATAATACCCTCAGTGCAGCCAGTAAAGAGGAAGGATTCATCTGGGGTCTGAGGCGGTACACCAAGGGGGCTTAGAGCTCTCTAAAGAGACAGTGCTATTTGCTATTTTTGGATCCACATCTTTTTGTACAGTGTACAGGTTGCTAAGAAGTTTGTTCTCACGTTTACAGTTCCTTGGGCATCCCATATACCTCTAAACCCCATCCAAGTTGTTATCCACTTAATAAAAACAACAAAAAAACTCAAAAGCTCAAAGACTGTTTACTTACTCTGTATGCGCAAGTGTGGAAAATGCATGCTGCCTGGCTGTGCAGAATTAGCCACAGCTCAAGGAACCACTAGCAATCTCTGGAGGAACCCCAGGGTTCGGTTCTTCAGAACCCTGGTTGAGAATGGCTACTCTAGTAATTATAAGATCCTAAACATTCAGCAGCTGTGCATACAAATGTTCCAATTCCACTCTTGATGGTCCAACATGATGCTCAGCAAGGTTACCTTGGAGGGAGAGGAGGGAAATATCAGCTTCACCATGGCGATATTTTCTTACATTCGATAATCTCTGTCTGACATTTTCATTACTATTCCAGGAAATTTAGAAATTTGTTGAAAAGTCTTTGTGTGAGGGAGTCGATCTCTACCTCTTCATATTAAAAGCTAGGATTTTATGGATTGCTTGGATATAGGCAGGTGCCTCCCACCTGTCATTTCAGGAAGACCTATGCCTGTCTATGTACAACCTTATAGCAGGACTCATCTTGGTTAACAATAAAAATGAGTTATTGATGTGACATTTAATGACGAGTGTCTTTGAGTTCAGCAGTAATCTAAACCCAAGCTGTATGTTCCATGACAGCCTAAGACTAGAAGTGGGTTGAAAGACACTGGCTGTCACTCAACCCAGAAGACTGAGGACATCTAGTGGTAAGTAAGTAAGAAGTGCTGCAGGAGACAGCTTCAGTTTAGAGGTAAGTACTGCAACAAAAGTGTCCTGTTTTATTTTACATTTTCCTTGGTTATTCAATTTTATTTAAAGATTTTTTAGTAAAGTTCCGCTTTTAGCGTGCAGGTTGTACATGCCAATAATGCAGAGTAACTTTTGTTTCCCATTCACCCTTGAAAAGGTTGTTAATTCTATTATGCATAAATGTTATTTTGACATTTCAAGCTGTTACATAATCAGTAAGCAAACTTTTTAGAAATGAGACATTTACTGAATTCTGCTGAACAGTCATCCCATTAAAAAAGAAAATGCAATTAGTAAGTTAAATACTTACTTTGTTACTGTAAAGTAAACAGCAAGCACAGGAAGACAGCAAGTCTGGGGGTTCAGGAGGATGGCATAGCATGCTGGGCATTTTTTCATGACTGCGTTTAAAGCACACCTGTCATAGATACTTCAAATGTTTTTACAGACATAAAAGAACAGCATGGGAGATAAATAAAATTTGCAAATACAATTATATTACTTTGATGCCCTGAAAGGCAAAGTAATGCTTTAGCGGCTCATAAGGCACCCTCTGGTACCACACTGTAACTGTAGAGTCCCTACCTAGTTCTCTCATCTGCCACTGCTGTCCCTGAAAATGTGAATCCACCACCACCACCCATCTCTTACAATGCAGTGCTTGGCTCCGCAGTGACTTAATGCCAAGACCCTTACTTTGTGCATTTACAGAAAAGTCAATATTTGCATACGATTGTACATACACCTACAGATTTAGATTTTTTTTACAGCTGTATTTATTTTTTTTACAGTATTATTTGTTATTATTTTTTTACAGTTTTCCCTGTTGGGGGGGCTTTGGTGAGATATCAGGGATCTAAACAGGCCTTTGATGTTTCACTTTTGAGACAGAGAAAAGGAGATTGAGGACACAGCCCTCAATCTCCTTCTCTGCAGCCTCAGAATGAATGGACAGGAACAGGGGCGGACTGACAACTCATGGAGCCCCCAGGCAATAGGGGATCATGGGGCCCCTGTGTACTTGCCCAAACTCAAAAAAGCCTATGAAAAAGGTACCAGGGGCATCTCATGGGGCCCCCTACTGACCCCGGGCCCTTGGGCAGTGCCTGAGTTTCCTAATGGTCAGGCCACCCCTGATCAGGAATAGCTCTGTACAGAGCAGGGGCGGGCTGACCATTTGGAAACTCGGACACTGCCCGAGGGCCCGGGGTCAGTAGGGGGCCTCATGAGATTCCCCTGGTACTTTTTTCATAGGCTTTTTTGAGTTTGGGCAAGGACACAGGGGCCCATCATCCCCTATTGCCCGGGGGCCCCATGAGTTCTCAGTCCGCCCCTGGTACAGAGCTTTCCATTCAAACTGAAGCACAGTTTACTACATATCAGTGATGAATGAACAGAGTCAGTGATCAATACCGATCACTAAGAGGCCAGTAGATGAGCAGAGGGGGCCTCCGGAGAGCACAGGGGGATGCTGGAGAGCATGGAGGGGAGGGCAGAGAGCGTTGGGGGCCAACGGAGAGAACACGGGGGCTGCCAGAAAGGATGGATGGCTGCCAGAAATCCGGGGGGGAGGGGTGCTAGAGAGTACAGGAGTTGCCGCCGGAGATCACAGGGCACTGCAGGAAAGCATGAGGGGGGACCACTAGAGAGCACACCAGGGGCAGCAGAAAGAAGCTGGATAGGAGGAGCGGTTGCATATAGAGGTATCGATCTCTCCATGTTCCTCCTGAATGCCTGCTTTTCCTCCTCTCCTTCCTACAGGCATTCAGTGGCTGCAGGAGGAACATGGAGATTCCTCTATATGCAGCCGCCCCCGCTGCTCCTCCTATCCAGGCATACAGAGGGGGCGACCAGGCTTCCTGCAGCATGGGACCAGGTCACAATTGTGACCCCTGTAGGTAGTCCCCTGTGGCTGCCACTGCCGAACCTTTGAAAAGCAATCTCTGGAAGGGCCGGTATCTCCCCTCCTCCCTGCCTGTTTTAACCCTGTATATGCTAACCCACCAAGCTGTAACTGCGTACAATGGCACATCTCCATTCACTGGAATGGGGCACTTTTAGCACCAGTTCTGCCTGCCAAATGTGATATGAGAGATGTGTGTGCCCATGCCCAGCTGCCACTGCAGCTTAAGAGAGGGGGGGTTAAAGATGCAGCTCAACCGCCTGTTTTTACCACCCCAACCACAAGTGTAAATGAGGCACATCAGTGGATTGGTTTGCTGAGAGTCTTAAAGATACAGTGTCACTCCAGAGGCTTCTGCCTTAGCAGTTATAGCCTTCCTTTGCTTTTCTCCAACATACCTGAAGTTTTCCTTAACTCCAGGCAGAGCTCAATACACAAATTAGAGCAATTCTGTATTCATTACTACATCCTTGAATGTCATTTTTTTTAATGTAAGTCTTGAAAGTATCTAAATTTACCCTAACATTAGCCTCTTGAAGTCCTTTTACAGCAGAAAGCAGACAGGAGAAGGAGAACCAATCATTTACTCTGCATTGCAAGGCGTATGCTAATAATAGCTGAGAGCAGGCTGAATGAGAGATGAGCTCATAAATGTGCTGCTTCTCCTTTCACTGTCCATTCACAGGCTGGAGGAGGGACAAGGCTTGTAAGAGTTACTGAACCACAGCAGATAAATGTCAGGTTTGTCAGGCAGAGTTGTGCTGTGTGGCAGAGCTGTGTAAATCTCAGGAAAGGGTGGACAGGAATGCAAATCCTTTAGCAGGTAAACCAACTCTCATTTGCATTGTAGGCAGCTGGTTGCCTTGAGTTACACTGGTTGTAAATCCTTACATATACCCAGCGAAGTGACTGGCCTCACAGAAATGAAACAAATACTCCTGCGTACATTGTACCTGTTTATCTGCAGTCTTCTCTTCTCTACATTCATTCAAAGTCCAGAATTTCCACAGGATCTCTCAGCTCTGAAAAGCAGGGGGCGGGGAGCTGAAGCTACATCAGTGGGGAGAGCTGGTTGGTGAGAAGGGACACCCCCCCTCCACAGTGCACACAAGAATAGAGCTGAGGCTGTCAATCTGCTGGAGGTCCCTCCCCTGTCACCGTTTTTCTCTTGGTGTCAGGAAAACTTGTCAGAAGTGATTCTTGCTGATAGCAGAGGAATGAAGCAGCAATCAGAAATGACACTTAGTGCTCTGGATGGAGACAAGTACACACTATAGAGCAATGGTTCTCAACCTTCCTAATGCCGCAACCCTTTAATACAGTTGCTCATGTTGTGGTGACCCCCAACCATAAAATTATTTTCGTTGCTACTTCATAACTGTAGTTTTGCTACTATTATGAATCGTAACGTAAATATCTGATATGCAGGATGTATTTTCATTGTTACAAATTGAACATAATTAAAGCATAGTGATTAATCACAAAAACAATATGTAATTATATATTGTGAAATATTTATTTCTAATTACAAATAAATTAAATTTTGTCTTGAAGCATGAAGTGTCGTTTTACCTCCAATACTGCTGCTTTCAACACAGTAGCTGCTTTTAACAGAGTAGCTGCTTTCAACACAGTAGCTGCTTTCAACACAGTAGCTGCTTTCAACACAGTAGCTGCTTTCTACACAGTAGCTGCTTTCTACACAGTAGCTGCTTTTAACAGAGTAGCTGCTTTCTACACAGTAGCTGCTTTCTACACAGTAGCTGCTTTTAACACAGTAGCTGCTTTTAACACAGTAGCTGCTTTCTACACAGTAGCTGCTTTTAACAGAGTAGCTGCTTTTAACAGAGTAGCTGCTTTCAACACAGTAGCTGCTTTCTACACAGTAGCTGCTTTTAACAGAGTAGCTGCTTTCAACACAGTAGCTGCTTTCTACACAGTAGCTGCTTTTAAACACAGTAGCTGCTTTTAACACAGTAGCTGCTTTCTACACAGTAGCTGCTTTCTACACAGTAGCTGCTCTTTACACATGTGTGACTGATCCACCCTGTCACATACACCTGTATTTGTACGGGGTGTATGTGATGGGGTTGGCCCGATGATGTCATCACGCTGGGTACTCGTATGTGGGCGTATCTGCATGTGGGCGGACCTGCCTGGAGATGGATAGAGGAGTGGTGTCTCAGTTCCTAAGACCATCGAAAATATGTGTTTTCCGATGGTCTTAGGCGACTCCCAAAGGGGCCGTGACCCACAGGTTGAGAACCGCTGCTATAGAGGGATATGCTCTGGTCATATTTCATGTCCGAGGATTACAACCACTTAACGCTTTAGCACATAATCTACCTTTTTAATAAACTAGACATCTTAAGGCGGCATGTCGAGATAATTATATCTACAAAACAGTATCTATTACCTATTTCCTTCACTTCTGTCTGTATAGACTTTTGATGTATCTATGACAGGTGTGCTTTAAATAAAGTCATAAAGAATTTTCCCAGCAAGCTTTGCTGTATCCCGGAGCCCTATGCTCGCTCTTTTTCTTTACAATAACAATTAAAGTCTTCAATATTCTAATTACATTTTTTTTTTCTTTTTAATGTGACAACTCTGCTCAACAGATTTCCTAAAATGTCTCATTTCTCAATAATTAAATTTGCCTTTGCCTACTGATTATGTAACATTTTAAAATGCCAAGATAATATGTATACATAAAAGGATTAACGGCCTCTCCAAGGTGCTTGAAGCGGAAAACACATATCAGTTGGCCGCAGACAAAAAAAGTCTCAGCATTTCACGTCTTAAAGTGAATTCCCACTTTTGCAGCCAAATTGGGATAACATCTACTTTATATCGGTTACATGGCCCCATTCACATCACATAACGTTACAAGAATATTTACAGAACGCTGCTCACCTTCCTACTTTGTCCTTCTTTGTAAGGCTAAGGAGGGGGTTGGGCATTAGGTTTAGCACCGTAAAATAAACCATTCTCCATTAATGTTTTTGTCTTACCCCAGCCCTTGCAGTTTATATCTTTCAATGCTGATGGCTTCTGTTCTCTCTCAGTAGTGCTGCTTCCCTGAACTTCCAGTCTTCACAAGAAAGCGTTAAAGAATATGTGAACTCAGCATTTCTTATTACTGATATGTGCCTGCTGTACCTTGTACTTGTATGAAACAGTTCTTTTCTCTCTCCCTTAGGAGTTGGTTGTGGCCAGCTCAGTGGATTGCTTTAAAAAAGTCCTGGATTCTTTCTTGGATACACAGAATATACAGTAACTGGATATAACATTTATAGGTAAAGTTGATCCAGGGAATATCAAATTGCCTCCTGGGGGATCAGGAAGGAATTTTTTTCTCTGCAGCCGAGAAGTATCATATGATCTGTGTACTTTGGAAAGCTGTGGAGGTGAGAGGCAACAGATAAACAAGTACAACTTATGTAGGAGGATTAAATTCATCACTTCAGTGGGCTTATGTAAAGGTATATGATCACTTTCAAATTATATTATAGCTAAAACTTTTTTTTTTCATTTTGAATAAAGTAGGGATGAACAAAAAAAAAAAATCTAATTTCTTCATAAATGTAGGCCATAATCAAAATGTATTCTGCTATATGTCTTTGGTAAAATAAAATCCCAATAATTGTATAATAATTGATTTGTGCAAAAGTTATAGCATCTACAAACTATGGTATATATACTGGAATTTTTTTATTTTTATTTTTTTTTATACTAGTAATGGCGGTGATCAGCAGCTTATAGTGGGACTGAGATATTGCGGCGGGCAATCTGACACTAACTGACAATGGGTGGGAACTGACATCTCCAGTGACACTAATACAGTGATCAGTGATAATACTATACACTGTCACTGTACTAATGACACTGGGAAACAGTTAACATCTAGGGGCAATCAAAGGATTACCTGTGTGCTGAACAATGTGTAATGTGTATAGTATGTGCTGCTTTTACTAAGAGATGACTGTTTTTCCTCCCTACAAAGCAGGGAAAAAAAGCCACACCACTGCTCTGTGTACAGAGCCCTGTGTTGTTAGTAAACACAAGGCTCTGTATGATCATTCCCTAAGCCGATCAGCAGGTTCTGGCCATAAATCAGTCCTGATCCCTCCTTTACATATAGTAAGCCTTTGCATTTTCCAGATTCACTCCATAGCTGCAGGTCTTAGAAGACATCACAGCCAGTGGCTGGACCTCCATATTACCCAGCTTTGTCCATGTAAGAATAGGCATTAGGTTCTGTCAACCTCTGATATGAAACATGAACAAAACATATCTCTCTATAGAGTGTACTTATCTCAAGAGCACTAAGTGTCATTTCGGTCTGCTGCCTTATTCCTCTGCTATGGGCTTGAGTCACTTCTAACAAGTTTTCCTGACACCAAGGGAAAAAATGGTGACAGGGGAGGGAGCTCCAGCACACAGCTTGTGATTGACAGCCTCAGATCTCTTCCTGTGTGCTGTGTGGTGGAGGGTGTGTCCCTTCCCTCCAATCGGCTTTCAGTGCTCTCTTCTCTGAGCTCTGCAGTGTGTAATTTCAGCTCTCCTCTCCAACCCCTTTTGTTATGACGGCTCAGACAAGCTTTATAAATTCTGCACTTTGAACAGATAGAGAAAACTGCATATAAACAAGTACAACTTATGTAGAAGGATTTGTTTCATCTCTGTGTATCACCTGAGGCCAGTCACTGCCAGGGGCGGACTGACCATTCGAGCACTCGGGCTCTGCCCGAGGGCCCGGGTCAGTAGGGGGCCCCATGAAATGCCCCTGGTACCTTTTATAGGCTTTTTTTGAGTGTGGGCAAAGACACAGGGGCCCCATGATCCCCTATTGCCCGGGGGCCCCATGAGTTGCCAGTTTACCCCTGGTCACTGCACTGGGTTTATGTGAGGGTTTACAACCACTTTAACTGTTTCCCTCCCCAGTTGCCAATCCAGTCATCCACATGGAGTAAAGGCCAGTTCACACTACATGAGTTATAGTTGATTTTTTTCTGCATCCAAAATAAACAGAAAGTAGGTTGTATGGTTGTCAGTGTCATAGTTCACATCAGTGCTTGCAGTTCCAGTGCGTTCCGGTTACAGAAAAAAAAGTAGAACAGGCTGCATTTTTCCTGCACAGAACTGAAATGCTGTAAAATGCACTGGAACACACCAAAACGCACCAAAAATGCACTGGAACGCACATGTCCCTATTTCAATTGAAGAAAAAGAGAGAAGAAAAAATGAACCAGAAAGCATAAAATATGCATCCAGAACGCATTTGGACTGCGTTTCTGTGGTGTAAACCGGCCCTACAGGGAAATACTTGCTCTTTGGGGAGCATGTGACTCACCAGGGGCGGACTGACCATTTGGAAATTCGGGCACTGCCCGAGGTGACCGGGGTCAGTAGGGGGCCCCATGAGATGTCCCTGGTACCTTTTTCAGAGGCTTTTTTGAGTTTGGGCAAGGACACAGGGGCCCCATGATCCCCTATTGCCCGGGGGCCCCATGAGTTGTCAGTCCACCCCTGGACTCACTCACATTCCTTCCAGGTGACAGCACTTGCAATGAGGCTAACTGTCCTGGATTTTCTTGGATAGTCCCTCTAACCTCTGTCTCTGGTGTAGCTGTGTCCCAAGATCACAGCACAGGGAGCACAAAAATGGGTAAAAATAAAGAAAACTCTCCAGCACATAGGTAAGTATGATTATTATTATACAGGATTTATATAGTGCCAACAGTTTACGGAGCGCTTTACATGATTATTCATTTCCGCTTTATAAATTATTGCCAGGTGTACAGAGTAGCGGGGGAGGGGATATGGGAAGGAGGTCCTCTTGAACTGTATTAGGTTGCAATTGTTTTGGAGTATGCTGACATCTACTGGCAATCTAGAGTCACTACAACATGTGTATGTATGTCATTTTTTACATCCCTGTCTCGTTCCCTCCTGTTTGGTGCTAGTTATTTCAGTCCTAGCTGGCAGTAATATATTTGTTACAGCAAGAGAAAGGGTAAAGACATACTGATTCTAACAGTGGTAGAACCAGTGAAATGCAACTGTCACTTTCCCTAATGAAAACTGCCCTCTTACTAGCCAAAATGTTGGCGTCTTGGTGACCAGAGACAAAATGCCTAGTGTGACACAGGCTGTAGGTGCGGGGAAATACTAGGTACACACAATAATGTGAATATTAATATGCTCACTTACATGAATGTCCATCCTACAGTCTTGCGAGTATTATAAAATTAGATCAATAATAGCAGCAGTATGCCAATTTTGTTTTCTCATAAAAGTATACATTACATTTTGTGCTTTTATAAAATAAATAAATAAATGATTAGAGGAAAAAAAAAAAAATGAAAAAGTGAATTCATCCTATTATGCAAAAATAAAATGTCAAGAGCTTGGAAATGAGTACGTAATTTTGTGCAAACAATTGTAAAGTGTCCAGTGCGTTAAAAGTGTCATAAATAAATGAACTGTAACAATAAACTGTGTGTTGTTCTTCAATATCACATAATACATTGTTACAGGCAGGGGCGGACTGGCCATTTGGAAACTCGGGCACTGCCTGAGGGCCTGGGGTCAGTAGGGGGCCCCATGAGATGCCCCTGGTACCTTTTTCATAGGCTTTTTTGTTTGGGCAAGGACACAGGGGCCCCATGATCCCCTATTGCCTGGGGGCCCTATGAGTTGTCAGTCCGCCCCTGATAGGAACAC